AGACGCGTCTCGAGTGTGACTGCTCAGGGGGTTCTGCGAGCTGGAAAAATCGCTCGGCGGATCGAGGGGCGGGCGGAGAGCAAACAGCACAGGCAGCAGCTGGAGCACGAGCGGCTGGAGCCGCAGCAGCATACTCCGCTGACCAGGGCCACGAAGAAACCAGACTTACGTGTCGCAGGGTCAGCATCGTCACGTTGAACTGCCTATCCTCATCCCCAGTCGGCCATGGTTGCCTTATGTGACGCCACCAGCCTGCGCCGCGAAACCTGACGGAGAGGTCACCTACCTCCCCCCCAGTAAACTGGACAGCGGGGCCAAGGTTTTCCCAGTGGGATGGGGATATGTCCAACGTTGCTGGACGGGCCCACGTCGGGACACGGGCAGCAGGATTCGGCACACCCGGTGGCTGCAACCATGGCCCGTGTGACTCATCACTAGGGGTTCGTCGCTCTGAGGCACGTTTGGCCCCTCCCAAGGACCAAACCTTCAGTGGATGTTTCAATAATTGCGTTTTTCCCGCATGTTTAGTGGGGTTATGGTTTTCTTCTCTCCCGCGTCCCACCCGCGTCTCCCTCACTCACATCCCTCCGCCCTCCCTCCTCACCTCTTCTTCCTCTCTCACCTCACCCACGCGCAAGACATGCACGGCATGTACATGAGACACGCGTCTACATGCAGCCGCACGCATGCACACACTCGCACGCACGCACGCACGCACGCACGCACGCACGCACGCACGCACACACACACACACATACACACACCATACAACACCAGTGTGCGCCTGGCGTGTCTACTGTATCATGCATCAAGACGTATGCGCCACATACTGGGCATCCACATGATACGCACGTCCACCTACAGCCGTACACGCATGATACATCACCCACATTGAGACACGCGGCCGCATACAGCCGCACACACGCACACACACACACACACACCACACACACACACACACCAGACACCTGCACAAGGCACACAAGACACAAGACACGCATGCAGTCACACGCGCACACACACACACTACATACAACGACAGTGCACGCCTGGCGCGTTCACTGCATCATGCACCCAAGACGTATACGCACGGTCGTCCAGGCACACCATGCGTGGCACCTTCTCGATACCATAGGGGATGCGCTGGGGGTTGTCCCTTAACGCAGCCGCTATGCACGCCGGTCGTCCGGAACACAGCAGGCGTGGGAGTTTCTCGACAACAGAAAGGGTGCGCCGGGGGGGGTCTCGCACCGCGGTCTCTACACGCCACAGTTGTCCAGGCACAGCATGCGTGGCACTATATCGACAACAGAAGGGGTGCGCAGAGGGTGGCTCTCACCGCGGTCTCTACACGCCCCAGTCGTCCAGGCACAGCAGGCGTGGCATTTTCTCGACATCATACGGGGTGCGCAGAGGACGGTCTCCCACCGCGGTCTCTACACGCCCCAGTTGTCCAGGCACAGCAGGCGTGGCAGTTCCTCGACACCATAGGAGGTGCGCAGGGGGTGGCCTCTCACCGCGGTCTCTATGCGCAGCAGTCGTCCAGGCACAGCAGGCGTGGCAGTTCCTCCACGCCATAAAGAGTGCGCAGGGGATGGTCCCTCACTGCCGCCTCCATACGCCCCACATGCGCAGCACGCGTGGCAGTTTCTCGACACCGCGGTCTCTATACGCCCCAGTCGTCCAGGCACAGCACGCGTGGCACTTTTATCGGCACTATAGGGAATCGCAGGGGGTGGTCTCTCACCTCGGTCTCGATACGGCCCAGCCGTCCAGGCACAGCAGGCGTGGCACTTCCTCGACAACAGAAGGGGTGCGCAGGGGGTGGTCTCTCACCGCGGTCTCTATACGCCCCAGTTGTCCAGGCACAGCAGGCGTGGCACTTTCTCGACACCATAGGAGGTGCACCAGGGGGGGTCTTTCACCGCGGTCTCTATACGCCCCTGTCGTCCAGGCACAGCAGGCGTGGCATTTTTCTCGACACCATAGGGGGTGCGCAGGGGGTGGTCTCTCACCGCGGTCTCTGTACGCCACAGTCGTACAGGCACAGCAGGCGTGGCAGTTCCTCCACACCATAGGGGATGCGCAGGAGGTGGTCCCTCACCGCGGTCTCTATACGCCTTCAGTCGTCCAGGCACAGCAGGCGTGGCAGCTTTTCGACACCATAGGGGATGTTGCAGGGGGTGGTCTCTCACCGGGGTCCCTTTACGCCCCAGTCGTCCAGGCACAGCAGGCAAAGCATTTTTCTTGACACCATAGGGGATGCGCAGGGGGTGGTCTCCCACCGCGGTGTCTATACGCCCCAGTAGTCCATGCACAGCAGGCGTGGCACTTTCTCGACACCATAGGGGATGCGCACGGGGTGGTCCCTCACCGCGGCGTCAGGTTGCCAAGGCTTGACCGACATGCCCGACCTAAGTTTACTTCTGTTTGCGAGGGTTTTATCCATGACCACCGCCTGTGAGTCTGTCCTCGGCAGGCGGTGGATGTGGATACAGCTGGGCCCCGGGCGGCCAAGGGATGTCCATGTCCACCGCCCCCGCCCAGGACTTCGGCCCTCCAGGGGCGCAAGGCGAAGGAGGGGGGGGCAGCATGTCCACCAGAGGCAACGCCAGGAGGGGCAAAGCTCAGCATAGGCGGCTCGAGGTTGGCAGCCAGTAGATCGCGGGCGCGCTTGGGGCGTGCCCCTCGGCGTCACCAACGGTATCGGCGGGGCAACGGCAACCAGCATCATTCTCGCATGTTTCACTTCAGCTGTCATCACTCCAGACATAATATAAGTATGTGGGAGTTCTTGGTAGCGTAATTCTGTGTTTCGAGCCTGTGGCGTCGCTTGTGTGCCCCAGGGCCATCAAAGAAAACGATCAAGGCTGAGTACCAGCCCGGGGAAGGGGTCGAGAGCCTGGCGGGATGAAACATCCGCCAGGGGGTGAGAAATGGGGACAGTGCGAGGGGGCGCCCTCCTAACAGTGAGGCACCCCGCGACATCCCCCCGCTGCGGCCTGAGAGGCCCTGGACCCTTCCAGAAAGCCCCCCGCCTGCTTAGAAGGCCGCCCGCCCCGCTTGGGGCGCCTCCTGGCAGGAGCTGCGCGCATGGCGCAGCGGGCGCGCCTCCGCCTCACGCAAGAGGTTCCCCGAGCTCACCAACAAGACCCTGGAGAGCATCGCCTCCGCCGTGCCGACCACGGACGCCGAGCTGCTGGCCGTGCCCGGCATCGCCCGCAAGAAGGCCGACGAGCTCGGCCCCGAGATCCTCGAGATCTGCCGCCGACACGCCCTGGGGGGCGGCCAGCGGCCGCCCGCGACGCCGCAGGTGGTGCCGGCGTCGCCGTGGATGGAGCGCCCCGCGAAGCGCGCGCGGCAGGGCGCGCCGCCGCCCCGCGGCGGGGTCGCCGCGTGTGCCGCGGCGGGCGCCCCCGCGGCGGGCGCCCCCGCGGCGGCACCCTCGGCGCGTGTCGAGGCGGGCATGCTGACGGGCGAGCAGCGCGCAGCGGCCGAGCGGGCGCTGCGCGGGGAGAACCTGTTCATCACGGGCGCTGCGGGCACCGGGAAGAGCTTCTTGCTGAGGTACGTGGTCCAGGAGCTCGAGGCGAAGATGGGCGGCCCAGGCCGGCTGGCCGTCACGGCCCCCACGGGCCTCGCCGCCATCAACGTCGGCGGGGTCACGGTCCACTCCTTTGCCGGCATCGGAATAATGCAGCAGGATGGCGTCGGGAACATGCACAGGTACATGGCCGCGAGGATAGGCAACAGCAAGGTCTCGTCGCAGCGCTGGAGGGACACGGATGTGCTGGTTATCGACGAGATCTCCATGCCCGCGCCCTCTTACGTCTTCTTCCTCCTCCTCCTCCTCCTCCTCTTCCTCCTCCTCCTCCTCCTCCTCCTCCTCCTCCTCTTCCTCCTCCTCCTCCTCCTCCTCCTCCTCCTCCTCCTCCTCCTCCTCTTCTCCTGCTCCCCCCTCCTCCTCCTCCTCCTCCTCCTCCTCCTCCTCCTCCTCCTCCTCCTCCCTCCTCCTCCTCCTCCTCCATCTTCTCCTCCTCCTCCTCCTCTTCCTCTTCCTCTTCCTCCTGCTCCTCCTCATCCTTCTCCTCCTCCTCATCTTCATCCTAATCCTCATCCTAATCCTCATCCTCACCTATCCGCCGTTGCCACTTGGGTTCAAGAGGTGCTGCTGTTGTTGCACACACAACATACACACACACACGCACGCACGCACGCACGCACGCACGCACGCACGCACGCACGCACACACACACACACACACACACACACACACACACACACACACACACACACAGACACACACACACACACACACACACTCACACACATTCACACACACACGCACGCACGCACGCACGCACGCACGCACGCACGCACGCACGCACGCATTCACGGCGGCCGCAGGGGCACAGGGGTGCGGCCACTCATCCCACCCCATGGGGAGAGGAATCATAGTGCGTCATGGCGGGCGTGTGGCCCATGGCTGCACGCCGCAGGCCGCAACCGAGCTCGTGGAGCGCCTGGTCTGCTGTGGAGGCGGCGAGGCAATCAATGAGCCAGCACCTTTTGGAGTTCGAGCACGTGCTGCCTGAAGCGGCAAGGCTTTCTCGGGCTGCCGCTGAGGGCCACGTCCGAGGACATCAGGGTCGGCCTCGTCAGCAGGGGCGAGCTTCACACTAGCAGGTACAAGTGCTGGAGAGCAGCCCGCAGGGCGCTCGCGCAGCCGCCAGGCAGCATCGGTGGCCAGGTTCTGGCGGCGCTGCAAAGGCTGGTGCGGCGTGGCGCGGACCCTCCGCGGCTGCTGACCAACCAGGCGTTGGAGGTGGCGTCGCAGGTCTTCCTCGTCGGGAGCGAGTGCGACGTTGGCGAGCAAACTGACGATGAGGCGGGGGACACGGGCTCGCTCGGGCAGCCTGGGGGCAGCTTGGACACTCCGACGCGCCCCGCGGCGAGCGCTCAGGCCACCCCCTGGGGGGCAGGCACGCCTGCGGCCCCGAGCCTCGGGCCCGGCCGCCAGGATGGGCCCAAGAAGCTCAGGAGGGGAAAAAACACACAGACACAATTAATCGTCGATCCCCAGGAAAATATGGGAAAATATAGGAAGTGGTGGGGAAGACAAAAACCCAGAAAATATGGGAAAATATTGGGGATATTTTTATTTGTGTGTATTTATTTGTGTGTTCCAGTTCCCCTTCAGAAGCCCCATGCGCTGAGGCCCTCTTGGACGAGCGCGGGCCCCCGTGCGGGTGCTGGCAGGCTGCGCGCCCGGCAGCTCGACGCGGCGCGCGGCAGGCCGCGGGGCGCGGCAGGCCCCGGGGCCGGGCCGAGGCCCTGCGCGGCCAGCTCGGGCACTTCGGGCGCGGGGCGGCCGAGCGCGGGGGGGACGGCCGGCGCAGCTCCGCGCGGAGGCGCCGGGGAGGTGATCTGCAGAGGTGCCGCGGGGCGCCTCGCGCGGAGGTCCGCGAGGTGTCGGGCCAGGCAGGAGCAGGCACGTCCGAAGGGTCGCGAGCGCTTGCCAGACCCCCTGCCACAGCCTCGTCGCCTGTTGCCGTAGCCCCTGCTGCCGTAGCCTTTGCCATTCAGTCGACGTCCGAGCTTTCCGACATAGAACGCCAGGTCTGCTGGTGATGAATCGAGAGGGTCGTCCAAAAATTCTTCGCCATTTTGATCACACTCGCGTACCAGTTCTGGAACTCTTCCTCGCCCGAGGTGCCGTCCCAGCACTCGCTTGTCATGTAGACCATGTGGTCCAGGTCCTCGGCCGCCAGGGTCAAGTAGATGCCTGCTCGTAGGTATGATCGTAGATGTGCCAGGCCCCCTTGTGATCTGTGAAGTACTCGACCTTATTGTAATCCTGTTCTTCATCGTCTTCAGCTTGCTCTTGAAGCAGAATGCCACCTTGATCTCCGCCTTCGCCGATCTCCTTCTGGCCCTTGCCGACTTTCATCGGCTTGCATATATCCGTGAATTGTCCGCTATCGCCGTCTACCTGAAGCATCAAATCGTTGATGAATCGAAGTGCCAAGCTGGCCTTGCCAAGTGGCAAGAGTGTGAGCCCAGCATGAGTGATGGTCAACGATGCGTGTTCCTCTGTTGTTTCTCACCGCTATTTGAACGCCGTTAGATTCCCCAGCAAGCTGTGAGATCCTCGATGTAATTCAAAAAAACGATCCAGATGAAACGCTTGCAGATCTTGACTGGCATCGCCGAAGGCCGTCCTCAAGTCCGCCAGGATCTGCTATAGTCCAGACGGTGTCGCCTCCAAGCCTTGGGCTGGATCTGCCGCTTCTGAAAGAGCATTATCAGCCTCGTCCTGGTATAGAGTGGAACCGTCTTGCCGTCGAACTCTTGTCTTCATGGCAATACGACAAGCTGAGCCCTTCAAACGTCCAACGATGACACTGCATCCATGGTCGAAGCTTCTCCTTATTTGAAGGAGTTTCTGTGGAACTCACATCATCCTGACCCCACGCGCGAGGTAATGACCCCGCCGACGGCCCCCCCTGTTCCGTTTCTGGCGAGATCCGGGAAATCCGGCGAATCCCGCGAATCTTGCGAATCTGGCGACGAATTTCAAACCGGCGCCCTCGCGTGGGAAGTCCTCAGAAAAACCGCCCCCGGAGCCTCCTCAAGGAGGCTGTTCCGTTTCCAGCGAGATCCGGGACGAATCCAGCGACGAATTCCAAACGGGCGCCCTCGCGTGGGACATCCTCAGAAAAAAAGGCCCCCAGAGCTTCCCCGAGAAGGTTTTCAGAGGCCCCCCTTGTTCCGTTTCTGGCGAGATCCGGGAAATCCGGATGGGACATTTTTAGAAAAATTGGCCCAGAAGCTTGCGAGACCCGGGAAACTTGGCGAACCCGGCGACGAATTTCGAACCGGCGCCCTCGCGTGGGACATCCTCAGAAAAACGGGACCCTGGAGCTTCCCCAAGGAGGCCCTCAGAGGCCCCCCTTTTTCGTTTCAGGCGAGATCCAGGACATCCCCAGGGGTGGAGGAGGAGGGGCGACGAGGGGAAGGAGAAAAGAAAGGGAGGAGGAGGACGAGGTGAAGGAGGACGAGGGGAGTTGGAGGAGGCAGAGGATGAAGAGGAGGAGGAGGCGGAGGAGGAGGTGGAGATTGCCAGCATGGCAGCGGGGGGCGCCACGCCCGCCCGATCCTCACCCTCCTGATTTTCATTCTCGCCATCCTCGCTCTCCTGGCCCTCCGTCTCCACATCCTCAACCTCCGACTCCACGCTCGCCTGATCATCCCCCGCGTGACCCTCACTCTCCTGATCCTTCCCCTCGCGAGCCTCGCCCTCCTGATCCTCACGCTAATTCTCATCTCGATCATTGCCCTTTCGCCGAGCAGCGCACGTCCCTTCTTCTAAAGACAGAAATGCCCGATCAACCGCAGAGCGGCCGATTAGTATACATGTAACGGAAACCTCTGCACGTAAGGTCTCCAACCAGGTAGGCATTGCCTCGTGTACTCGTCCAGTGGAATGCCGTGTAGATCAGCTGAGGAAGCCATTGCTTCGCAGCGCTGATGATGACCATGTGGTTCTTGCTATACTCGATGAGGTAGGTGGGAACGTCAACGAACGTGTCGCCGACGCTGCGAACTCGCCGAAGCTTTTCATCTGCTCTGTCTTGATGTCGATGTTGCAGTCGGTGGTCTCGAAGCTGCTGAGCTTCTGCGTCCTCTCGATCACGAGAAGAGAGAGAAATTCACAATGATGTAGAATACCTGTGGCATCAGAAACTGAGGGCTCGATGCCGAATGGAACCGCGGGTCCGTGGACCGGCAGCTCTGCTACCAAAGTCCGATTTTCGGTTGTTTGACCCCAGACGTCTGCAGTACATGTCCTGACGTCTATCCATCATGCTCTGCTCTGTCATGCCTGCTCCTACCGCTCCGCCTTACTACTTAACGTACGACTCTCTCCTCCTGCCCTCGTCCTCCCATCTCGTCCTCCTCCCCCCCTCGTCCTCCCTTCCCTCTCGTCCTTCCCCCCTCGTCCTCCCCCCCCTCGTCCTCCCTCCCCCCTCGTCCTCCCCCCCTCGTCCTCCCTTCCCTCTCGTCCCTCCCCCCTCGTCCTCCCCTCCCCCCTCGTCCTCCCCCCCTCGCCCTCCCCCCCCCCCGCCCTCCCCAGGCTCGCGCCCGCCTTCTTCGACCAGCTGGAGGCCGTCGCCCGCCAGGTGCGCCGGCGGAGGGAGCCCTGCTCGGCGGGCTCGCGCCAGGGCACCGCCCTCTCGAGGGCCGCCGCCCCGACCCAAAAGGCCCCCCCCCCCCCTCGCGCCGTGGAGAAGGCAGCGGGCTCAGATCTCTGGCGAGGCCTCCTCCTGTGCCTCCCTCCTCCTCCTCCTCCTCCTCCTCCTCCCTCCTCCTCCGCCTCCTCCTCCTCCTCCTCATCATCATCATCATCATCAGCATCATCATCAGCATCATCATTCATCCTTCCCTCCTGCTCCTCCTCCTCCGCCTCCTCCCTCCTCCTCCTCATCTCCTCATCATCATCAGCATCTCATCATCCCATCATCCATCATATCATCATCATCTCAGCATCATCATCATCATCATCATCATCATCATCATCATCATCATCATCATCATCCATCATCATCATCATCATCATCATCCTCATTCATCATCATCATCATTCATCATTCATCATTCGTCCTTCTCCTTCTCTTCCTCCCTCTTCTCCCTTATCCTCCTCCTCCTCCTCCTCCTCGTCCTCCTCCTCCTTCTCCTCCTCCTCCTCCTCCTCCTCCTCCTCCTCCCTCCTCCTCCTCCTCCTCCTCCTCCTCCTCCCCCTCTTCCTCCTCCTCACCCTCCTCCTTCTCCTCCTCCTCCCCCTCCTCCTCCTCCTCACCCTGGCCCCCGTCTCTCATCGGGCCCGGGCCGCTGCGGAATACCGCTGCCTTCCCCCTCGGGCCCGCGTGCCCGGCGCGTGCAAAAGAGGCGCTCGCGCGCCCACCCTCACGAGGCCCGTACCCCGTCCGATGCACGAGGCACGAGCGCGCCCTCGCGCGTTTTGGGCCCGTGCCCAGCGCCTGGCATCGCTCGGACGTGTGCATTTCTTTCTCGGCGAGCACCATCGAGGAGCATCCTTGATCATTTGGCGAAAAAGCCACGCACGAAACCGAGAAAAAACACAGGGAATGGACGTCCGAGCGATGGCGAGAGCGTGCCCACACGGGGCGTTACAAAAAGAGCCTTGCTTTCGAGGATCGAAGGAGCTGCCATCGCTTCCGCGGCGGAAGGTCGGCGGAAGGAAAGAGTTGCCTTCCAAGAGGTGACAGCATTTTTGGTTTCAGGGTTTCCGGGATCCGCCACATGAGTGTAGGCCCGTGCCCATGGTACAGATATGGCAAGAAAGGGAAGAGGACGGGTCGGAAGAGGGCAGTAGAGATACCGACGAGTACATCCCGCTCCTCACACTCATGCGTTATGCTCCCTTACGCGTGCTCCATGACAGCATGCCGCAATATCTCAGATATAGCTGCATTTCTGTGAGACGTTTTCCAACGCCTGCAATGCAAGCATTGCACGAGGCGACAAAAATAAAACGCCCGTTGAAACAATCGTACCGCCAGAGGCCAGTTGGGTGACCTCGGATGGGGCTAGGACGAGGATGAATCCGTTCCGGAGCGTTCCAGAACGCCCTCAGAGCGTTCGGGAACGCTCTGAGAAGATCTGAGAAAGCCGCCGCGCCCGAGACATCCTCAAGAGCCGCCGGAGCTCAGAGACTCGATCTATCCTAAACCGAGTTTAAGCCTCGTCCTAATCTTGTCTTATGACCCCCTGTGCGACCTCCGGGCCCGACCTAAACGTCGTTTGGGCGATTTCGTGGGCCGTTATCGTTTCGGTTTCGGTTTTGCGCAAGGGCAGCGCGAAGACAGAACGAGGGAGAACGAAAGCAAGACGACGGCAGAAAATACCGCTCAGGTCGAGCTCTGTGCGACCCCCCGAGCGGCCTCGCGGAGATGGCCCTGCCACGCGGGGGGGCGGCGGGGGCCGAGCGAAGGGGGTCGGCCACGCGCCGAGGGGGGCAGGGGAAGGGGGGAAGGCTTCTCAGAAGCAGCCCTGCTATTCAGAAGGCGCGGGCCTTCTCTGCAGATGGGAGGCCCGCTTCTCTAAGAGGCAGCCTCCTTCCAAGGAGAGCCTTCTCCCCTCCCCCTGCCCCCTTGGAGCGCGCCGCCGAGGGGGGGCGGGCCCTCGGACGAGCCCGCCGGCCCCCTCGGCGGCATGCAGCTGGTGCTCTGCGGGGACTTCCTGCAGCTCCCGCCGGTGGAGGAGGACGCGACCCCGCCCGGCGGCCACCCCGGGTGCAGAAGTCGGGCGCCGCTTCCTGGGGGGCGATGCAGGGGGGGCGATCAAGGGCGAGGGCGATCAAGAGGGGGGGGCGATCAACGGGGGGGGGGGGGCGTCGCTTATAATGGGGAGCGATCAAGAGAGGGGGGAAGAAAGGGTGCACTTCTCGGACCCTGCTGGCCCCCTTTTGGCCCCTACTGGGCCCCGCTGGGGGCCAGAAGTGGCCCCTTTTCTACAGCCCTCGCTGCCCCCCCTCCCACTCGTCGCCCCCCCACTGCTCGACGCCCGAAGACAGGGACTGCCTCCAGGATCTGTGAGGCTTGTGCAGTCCCAGAGATCTTGGCGGCGCAACTCTTCCACACCGGGCGACGGCGCCTTCTTTCGGGTCTCCTGGGGCCTTTGCGGATCGGTGCGGCCTGATGTTTCGGCGGGAAGACCGGGTCTAGGGCTCCTGCCTTGATTGTTGTCGATATCCGACGAGGTTTCATTTTCTTCGCAACGTCGGATCTCAGGGGTGTTCGGAGGTTTTGTTTGAAGGCGTCCAGTGGACTTTCTGAAGTGTTCATCATGCTTGCGAGGTTTTCGGGACCAGAGGTGGTCTCCATCGACTGCGCCTCGTCGACTGCAGTCCGGGGGTGCCAGGGTCGTCCCGAGCGGCCGCCCGAGTTGGGGTTCGAAATGGGTTAACGGTGCAGGAGGTCAGGCGATCCCCCTGGCTGATTGGGGCCACCCCCTGTCCTTCCTCTTCTACTTAACCCAGCTATGGCAGTGGGGATCGTGACATGGCCTTGGCTGACTCGGGACAGCGCGTCCCCGATCGGAGGTCGGCAGAGATGATCATGCTCCAGGGCGTTTTGTCCCCAGGGCCCTCTGGACCCTGTTCTCCTCTTCGAGCCACCTGGGCCTCCTGGGGAAAACGTGTGTCGCCTTAAGCTTTGAGCAAGAGTCACCTCTGGCAACACCCGACCATCCTCCTCTTCCTCTTCCTCATCGTCATCATCATCGTCATCAGCATCACAGCATCATCATTATTATCATCATCATCATCATCAGCAGCAGCAGCATGATCATCATCAGCAGCAGCAGCATCATCATCATTATCATCATCATCCTCATCATCATCATGCTCGTCCTGCTCCTCCCCCCTCCTCCCACTCACATCCCCCCTTCCGCCAGCAAGAAGGAGGAGGAGGACGAGAAGGAGGAGGAGGAGGAGGAGGAGGAGGATGGGGGAGGAGGGAGGAGGGAGGAGGGGGGAGGAGGAGGAGCAGGAGGATAACAAGGAGAACGAGGAGGAAGGGATGGGGAGGAGGAGGAGGAGGAGGAGGAGGAGAAGGAGGAGGAGGAGGAGGAAGAGGAATCTCCCTCCTGCTCCCCCCTCTTCTTCCTCCTCGTCCTCCTCGTCCCTCCTCGTCCTCCTCGTCCCCATCTTGCCCCGGTCAAGCTGTTCTGGCTGAAGTGTTTTCAGACGTGGTGCCTCCTGGGTCTTCTTGCGACACTTGAGGTCTAGCCCTACTGTGAAGATAGCTAGCACAGAGACGCCTTTCTCTAGTAGCGCACCGCGATGTCTCAGTTCCGCAGTGCTCCGCGGGCTCACTCTCGTGATTGGCATGCTGATCGTAAGCAAATTCGCATTCATCCTCGTTGGCAGTTTTTGAAGTTTGAGCAGTGCGCTTGCTGCAAGAACCAGCCGAGCTTCTGTTTCTACATGCAGCGCGGAGGCCTACGACACCAAGCTGATCCAGTGGGTCCCGAGAGGCCAGCATCATTCTGAGCTAGCGGGCGGGGGGAGTCTGCGGCAGAACCCCGAGCCTTGCAGCCTCTCCCAGTTGGCCACTTGGGAGGCAGAGGCCACTAGGCGATGGTCAGAGACCAGGAGCTCGCAGACGAGGAGCTCACGCAGCTGGTTGCACGCAATGGCATCGCTCGGATGTGTGCATTTTTCCGTCGGCGAGGACCATCGAGGAGCATCATTGATCATTTCGCGAAAAAACCACGCACGAAACCGACACAAGCACAGGGAATGGACGTTCGAGCGATGGCCAGATGAGACGATGGGCAAATATGCACAGGCTGCTGCCCTCCGAAGGCAGCGTGATTCTCCTCTAGAAGCTCAGGCTACGTGCAAGTGGCAGACCTGTCTCGACAAGAGGCAACGATCCATCCGCCGCCTTCGGAACGACCTTGGGTCGGATAGCAAGAACCACCAGGCCATGGTGGCGGACATACGTCTGCAGGTAAGTGCGAGGGCGGCCGATCCTCCAGCGCACCCACAGGTCACGCTGCAGGATACTTCTGGACGGCAAGGACGACTTCCTGGACGCGGGGAGCATCCAGGCCGCCCTCGGCTTTCGACGACGTCGTGTACGCCGTCGGTGACGGGGACAAGGCGGAGCTTGCGATGAGGGCAGGCCAGCTGCACGACACCACCGAGAAGACAACCAAGGACCTGTTGGGGGCGGCAGCTACCCGTTCCAAGGACATCACGACGGCGCGCGTGGCACGCGTTAAGATGTTTCAGAAAAAAGCGGGTAGGTAACGACACTGATGACGCAGTTGCTACAGAACCCGCACAGTCCCCGCCAAGGCAATAAGAAGGACGGTGCAAGCTTCAGCGCCGTCGTTCGTCTCAGGAGCCCCATTTTCTGGAGGCCCCGCTGAGTGGTCCGGGCGAGGATTTCCGCCTTTCGAACCAAGCAGCCCCCCTTGCGACAGTTCCTCCCCGCGGGCAGCGGGCAAGCGCAACGGGGGCGGTAACTCTGGCCAGCAGGTTCGCATCAGCCAGCGGGCGCAGAAGGTTTCTTAGCTCGCCACCGACGGGGGCATGCCAGTGTACCTCAATAGCTGTCTCTCAGTTCCCCCTCCTGCACACTTCAGTTAGCAATCGCAACAGTCAACTACGCGGCGTGGTCTTCCGTGGAGTCGTGGCTTGTCACTGCGAGTACGGATTATCTGACCCTAGGAACACGGGATGATCTCGGGCGATGATATCGCCAAGGCAGGAAAACTAGCATTGAATGACTGCTCGTTTCGCGGCGGCCTCCCCCGCAATGGAGGGGAGCGTCTGGCGGGGTGGCGGTTTCCGTCAGGCACTACTTCGGCTTTCATGATCTTGAGTTCAGAGCTATCTCAGTCCCCCATCAGGCCATCAGCGGTATCGTCGCCGTCCCTGGCTCGCCGCCCCAATTGTGGTTTCGTTTGTCTATTTGGGCGACTCTGGGGACCTCCCGGATTGGAATCTTGACTTACTCGCGGCTGTCGCTGCCAGCCATGGGCCCAATGATGGGCCCCACAGTATCGAAGGGGTCTCAATATAACCTCAGGTGTCCTGGCGTCGCTGGCGGTCCAGGATTACTTATGGCAAACATGGCGCCCCCCAGCGGAGGGACTTGCGAGGGTGCTGGAGGCCCCGCTTGCTGGATTAGCTCATTACCTCTGCTAGTTTCAGTCGTTGCATCAGAAGGCGGAGGCCTCGCTGGACAGCGACATCAAGACGCGCGCTCCTGCGCGCATGCTCTTGCACCCTCAGCCCGCTGCACTCCGGGCCTCATTTTACCTCGAGCCACCCAAGTTTCACGCTGCTCTGCCTGTTGGACCTGATCCCCAGCCCGAGGCAGTCGCCGATGCGCCAATAGGATCGCGCTCGATTCGGGAAAGGGGCCCTCGCCCGAGAGGGTCCTAATGGGGAGGAACTTCAGACGTGCCTCGACGCGCCAAGCAGAGCGTCTGCTGACGCGGTCGAATGGGAGCGCAGACCGACCTCTCCGCACGGGGCCCCCAGGGAGCACGGCCCCGCCCCGCAAGTGCTCGACAAACGGCTCCAAGCCTCCAGTCTTGGACACCGCAGCGGTCGCGGGGAGATGGATTGGATGGGGCGCGCAGCTTCATCGTGGGAGCCCGCGACTTCGAGGCGAAGGTCGCCATCGGGCGACGCCGGGACCTCTCCCTCAACTTTCCTCCTCACGTTCAGGGCTTTCTGGAGAATCTCCGGATCTCCCCGAGCCAGGATGCGATCTCTTTGGCGGTTTTCGCGACTTCGGGTCTGATCCCGCGGGCCTCCGCGAGTTTCAACTTCAGCTTGGATCTATATTTTATGAGCATGTCCAGATTTCCTCACAACACTCTTTGGAGGCATGGTGGACTTGGCTACTAGGCGGCATAGAAAAGGGAAGGCAAACATGTTCGCGGGCGGACCAGGGAATCTCAAGCCGCGGGCCCCTACCACCGCGCTCTCGTCTGGGGGCTTGGTCCTCCTTGCTGCAGTGGGAAGGGACCAGGTCTGGCGCGCCGCGGGCGTCGCCCCCCCCCCCCCCCCCGCCCTCCGAGCAAGGTCAAAGGCATGGGGGGCGCACCAGTTGCCCCGCGCCGCTCTCGCCCGACGACCCGACAGCTGCGAGCGCGACCTCTGCTCCAGGCACGACCACAAGCAGGGGTGCACTCCCGGCGCGTCACGCCGCGCCCTTCCGCACCCTGCTCGCCTCCCGGCGGCGCGCGCGATATGTCAGGCGGCGGAGAGCACGGGGCTCATGCCCGACGAGACGCAGGCGCTGATCACAGCGCTGTTGCTCGGGCCTGCGCGCAGGCATCGCCCGATTGTAATTTGTCCGCCACCAACATAAAATCAATTACCTATCGTTGCCGCGGTAGCCAGCGACTCGGCCCTGGACGTCGCGCAGTGCAAGGGTGGGTCGCAACGAAACCTGAATTGGGGAAAGGGTAAGCGTCGGACAATAGCATGTGGGACTGACAGGAGTGTTACACGACGATCCAGGCACCTCATGTTTTTGGTTGGGCGCGAGCAGCTCAATTTCCACCTGAAGATTGCCCAGAATTTGGCCAGGGCCTGCCGTGCGGCTCGTGTCATCACCACGGGAAGCTTTTTTTTCTGGTGCCATGTTTCTGTCTGCATGGGGTGGTTGCTGAATGTGGGTCTGCTGCGTCGTACGTCGGGGTCTACGCCATCCCTGCCGTCGACTTGGTCAAGCCCCTTCTGAACTTCTTATCTTCGATCTACATGTGTGTAATACAAATACATATACATATACATATATACATACAGATGCATGCATCGACGACGAGCAGGGGCACGGACGCGTCGGCCATTGCCTCATTTAAGAAGGCTTCTGCGTCGATCCCCGTGGCCCTCGAGGTGGACGTGGAGTCCACCTACTTATACATATCTTGGCAAGGCTGATGGCGGCTTCCTTTACGACTCTCGGCCCGGCTCTCAGGCAGTTTCGGCAGCCGCGTCGGCCTGGGCACTGTCATCAGCTCGGCCATCAACTCGGGGGTCGACGACCGCGCTGGCCATGCACGGCGCACCAATTCCATGGGGAGGAAGGTCGAGGACAGGGACAAAAATCATTTCGACATCGTCAGGAGAACGATCAAGTCTCGTCAAGTTTTTGGGCTGCATGCCCGCGAGATTTCTGTCTGCATGTCGGCGCGCTTTGCGCATGGGTCTGAAAACTACGGCACTCCAGATTGCGAAAAGAACAGGTCGCAGGCTGGCTTCGGGAAGTCCGTCAGACCCTCCGCTGGCTTTCGCTCTCTCGCGTCGCCCCGCCTTCTCGACGGGGGCCCTTGGGCCAGCTGCGGTGCGGCCTCGCCCATCACCCGCGACGCTCGCGAGTTTGGGGGGCGCGCGGGCGCGGCGAACCTCCTCGGCCCTCGGCCTCGCCGCTCGACGGGGGGACCCGGGTGCAGACCTGGGCGGATCCTCCGACGCCTGGGCGGGCTGTGCGAGGACGCACCGGCGCGACGCGCTTGTCTCTCCTCCGGCCAGGACTGAGCGCGCCGCCTCTTTGCCCAGCTCAAGCTCGAAAAGGGGGCCGTCGACTCTCCCGGCCCCGCTCCCCTCCCCCCCCAGCTGCACGGGGCGGTCGTCAGAGCCGCGGCGTCGCGACTCGGGGCAGAAGCTAGGGGGGCGGCCACGATTCTTCAGGAAGGTGCTCGGGAGTTCCAAGTGCACCGCCGTCGAACGTCGAAGGGGGCCCTGCCCTCAGGAGGAAGCTGCCGAAGGCCGTTACCAGCGAAGCGATGTCAGGTGCATCCGCGGGAGGGCTCGCGACTCCGTTGTCCACCCACCGCTTGTTTGCGTGCCCAGCTGTTGAGGGCCCCAGAGGGCCGCGCCGGGCCCTGATGGTGGCCGCGTTCGTGCTCGACCTCTGCGCGGCTTCGATCGAGGAGTTGACCCTTTTTTCGCCTGGGGCAACTGTCCGTACACTGGCGATGATCTCCCAGGTCCAGATGCAGATTCAGCTCCAGACGTTCGATGGCAGATCGGCCAGCATGGATGCTTTCACACGAGATTTCCCTGGGAAGGCGTTTCCGGACTGGTCGCGTGTTAAGGGTATGCTTATGGAATTTTGAAGGGCTGGTTGAGGTGTAGCTGCTAGGGCGAAGGCACGACTGCCTTTGTTGGACGCGGGCCCTCGCGTTGTACAACTTCCCTCGTACCTTCCAGGCCGCTGAGTTCGGAGTCTTTACGCACCCAGCTCTTTATTGGAACGATTGGTCCTGGGGCTTCAGCGACTGCGCCAGTGCTGTTGGCCAGCCTCTCACCAAGCCGCTCTGGCACAAAAGACCCTATGCGGGCCGCATGGTCAATCCGCGAGGTGCGCAGCTTTCTGCGGCTCGTACAGTGAGGGCCCCCGTGGCCGAGTCGCATGACCTCAGGCCACGAGGCGCGCTCTCTGAAGCAAAGCAATGATGCGGCCGACCTGGCCGCCAAGCTTGGGGCCGCCATGCACCCCAGGCCGTCTCTGGGGGGGACAGAGCGAGTCGCCTGGCAAATCCTCGCGTCCAGGAATGCCTGCAGGTTGGCGACCGGACTGCCGCCGAACAGCCGCGTCTCGATTTGAATGACGTGCAGTTCGTTGCCCCTTCTCCAGCCACCGCGCCCAGCAGGCGAAGTGGAACCGGCCGAGCACGCGTTCGCTCGGCAAGGCTCGTTCTGGCGTTGCCGTGCCTGTGTCCGCTTCCGCCCTCAGGCAGCTAAGCCGTCGCCCCATGCCCCCCAACCCCGAGGCGGCGTTGATTTTGATGGAGCGGGGCCACCACTGTGTAGGCTTCGCGTGCAGCCACGAAGCCATGCTTTATTTCTGTTACGGTGCCGATGCCATGGCTTTCCTGTGGAGGCCAGCTGAAGAAGCTGAAAGGTGATTGCAAGCCCGAGTCGAAAGGAGCCATGGGCAAATGCGCTTCCTTTTTTGCGCGAACTCTCCGCAACCGCAGGCATTCTGAGTTTCCGGGTGTCTCGTGTAAAAGTGACGACCCAGACGCGGTCGGGCCCGACTCCGAAGAGGAGGAAGTTGAGCATGGTAAACCTATCGATCAGCTTTTCTGGGTTCGGGCATCCCTTCGGCTGGAAGCCGAGCGGGGCCCAGGTGAGTTTTCTCAAGGAGGGCCGGACGAAGCTGCACGGAAGGTCTGAACAAGGTCGGGCGCGGCACCGAGGGGGGTTCCCTCTGGCAGTGCCCGGCCTTCTCTCCGATGGCCCTCCTCCTCGTTCCTCGCCAGCAGGAAGGCGCGCTGCAGGGCGTGTGTGGGCGGCTCCCCCTCCATCCCGTGGGCCCTGCCGTGCGCGCAGGCTGGAACGCAGGACGACAGCACTTCCCACTCCGCTCCCTCTCTGTTGGCAGCCTCCTCGGGACGAGCCACGCCTCCCGTGCCGCTTGCTCCCGTGTAGCCTCCAGGCCGTGGCCCGCGCCTTCTCGGGCCCCGGGCGCGCGTCAAACAAAATGCTCCTCTTGCCCCGGAGGCCCCGGGGGGGGGGGGGCGGGCGGGCGGCCGCGCTCGCGCAGAGGCTGGTCCTTCTGCTTCCAGACGCCAGCCTGGGGCCGCTGCAACCTCGCCAAGGGCACGGTGATCTTGCGGGAGCCCGTGCGCCAGGCCAGCGGGCCGGGAGGGAGGAACCGTGGTTTGTTCATGTTGAGTCCCCCTTTCCTCTAGGCTCGGACATTGCGTCTGTCTGCCCATCTCCCTGTAGGAAAGGGCCAGAAGGAGGAAGGGATGCCGGGGGGAGGAGGAGGAGGAGGAGGAGGAGGAGGAGGAGGAGGAGGAGGAGGAGGAGGGAGGAGAGGAGGAAGAGGAGGAAAAGGGAGGAGAGGGAGGAGGAGGAGGAGGAGGAGGAGGAGGAGGAGGAGGAGGAGGAGGAGGGAGTGGAGGCAGGGGAGGTGGAGGAGGAGGAGGAGGAGGAGGAAGAGGAGGAAAAGGCGGAGGAGAGGGAGGAGGATGAGGTGGCGGAGGAGGAGGAGGAGGAGGAGGAGGAGGAGGAGGAGGAGGAGGAGGAGGAGGAGGAGGAGGAGGGGAGGGCGACCCGTGCAGAGCGCCTCCAAGCTGCCGTTTCGCTGCAGGCGGAATCGGCGGAAGCCATCTCGGAGTCGGCATTCGGGGACCGGTGCAAGGCCTCCAGTTAGGTTTGGAGCCTGTTGCGCTTTAGGGCCGCGTGGCATCGACGTACAGCCCGTTGCTGCCAAGCGAGGCGACGAGAGGCGGGAGGAGGAGGCAGGGGAGGGAGAGGGAGAGAGCGGAGGAGGCGAGGGAGGAAGCAGGGGAGGTGGGGAGGAGATGGAGGAGGAGGGCGCGGCGGCGCTGAGCGTCTGACGGCTACGTGCTGGCTTGGAGGCGGAGGTCGTCCGTTGCATCGTTCGGGCGGCCTTGGCGGCGCTTGGGAGTCAGGCCCTCCGGACGCTCGGCTGGGCAGCGGCTGCTGAGTGCTGGCGGCGTGCTGGGCGCCAGGGTGGGAGGGCGTTATAGCGGGACAGCAGGGCAGAGGATACGCACGGCGGGGGGTTCTCCTGCCGGCTGCGCGAGAAAGAGGGAGGAGGTAGTAAGAGGAGCAGCAGGATGAGCCAGGGGGCAGATGTTTGTTTGCCAGGCTGGCGACCCCGCATTCGTGAAGGCCCTCAACGCCGTGCGCGCCGGGAGGTGCCCGGACGACTTGCTGCAGCAGTTGCGCAGGCATGCTGCCGGCTGCAAAGCCGCCGCTGCCACCGACGGCGGCACGATGACGACGGTCGACGACCACGATGACCACGGCAACGACGGTCGACGACGGCGGACGACAGCTGACGACGACGCTGACGACGACGACGACGACCACCACCACCACCACCACCACGACCATGGCCACGACCACGACCACGCCCACGCCCACGACCACGCCCATGACCACGACCACGACCACGACCACCACGACGACGACCACGACCACAACGCCGATGATGGACGGATAGTATCGAAGACGGACAACGGACATTGACGACGACGTCGACGACCACGACGGCTGCGGCGACGACGGCGACGCACAGGCACACGGTTGGTTGCAAGCCGCCGCCCTCGGGCGACGTGACTCCGACGAAGCTGTACAGCGCCAACCGCGACGTCGACTCCGAGAACGCGGCGCGCCTCCGCGAGATCCGCGAGGAGGAGGTCCCCAGGGCTTGGCATCGCTCGGACATGTGCATTTCTCTTCGGTGAGGACCGCCGAGGGGCATCCTGGATCACCTGGCCAGAAAAGCACGCACGGAATCGAAAAAGTGCACGGGGAACGGACGTCCGAGCGATGGCGCGAGGGGTGTCCGCGGTCCGGTCGGCTCGGCCGCGCTGCGCGTCGCAGGAGCGGCCTCGAGACCAGCGCCCCTCCTCACCGCGAGCCACGGCCGCGCTCGCCGCCTGGCTCCGGCGCCGCGGCCCTCGGGGGGGGGGGGGGGGGGGCACGTTGGGGGCGGATCGGCTCGGGGGCTCGAGGCTCGAGGCTGGCTTCCTGCACTTCCCGTCGCCCTGGGGCGCCGTCGTGACCACAGCCGGGGCCGCCTCGCGAGCCACGGCCCCTGCGGAGCCCGGGCCCCAGGCTTGGGCGGAGCTCGGCCGCCCCGCCTCCACGGCTCCTCGGGCTGGGGCACCTGCGCGCCGTCTCGCCGGGCTCGGCGCGGCTGCGTCGGCGCCGGCCGCGCTCGCAGCGGCGCGCTCGGCTGCCTGCGGCGCCGCCGCGTCGCTCCGCCCTTCGCGGCTGCGCCCTGCTCGGCTTCGGCCTCGGTGGGCCCGACGTTTTGCGCCGTCGGCTCTCGGCCAGCTGCTGATCGTGCCGCTTCTGCTCGGCGGTCGGCGCTCCGTGCGCGCCCCGTGCCGCCCCCCCCCCCTCTCCCCCCACTCGGGGCGTCGGGAGGGCAGAGGCGGGGAAAGCAAGGAGGTCAGCCCCCGCAGGGTCCACCTCGATCCGATCGATCCAGTCCGATATCGGCTCTGGTCATGTCGATCCGGTTCGACTCCGATCTTCCCACGAGGCTGTGCGGCCCAGTGCTTGCATGGCGTTGTCGTGCGTCCCGGCGTGGCCGCTCCAGCTCGATCTCGACTCCAGTCCGATGCAGCCCGATCCGACGCGCACTCCGATGCGGTCCGACTTCCCGATGCGATGCTGACCGGTCCTGACCCCGGCGCCCTCTCTGTCGAACACCGGGATCGCGGGGCGCCGGCGCACGAGCCAGCTGCTGCCACACGGCGTACCGGCAGGGATGGCGGGACTGCGCGTTGAGCGGGCACCTTTCGGGCCGGACCAAAGGAGGGGATTGGGAGAGGGGGGGTTACAAGTTTTGCTGCATGCGGCTGGTTTCGGCCCCACCGAGGTGCCCAGTCCTCGATACGTGGGCGCTTTCCGGCGCCGGGAGGCGCCGGGAAAATCAGCTGCGTGAGCTGATTCTCAAACCCCCCTTGGCTATCCCCCCCTTTCGCCCGACCCGAATCTTGAGGGTGCCGCCGCCGCCAGCATCAAAGACCTATCCGAAGTGATCACACGGGGCGCCCGCGCAGGGTCCAGGCTCCGCCGCAGAGTGTGCTTTGCACTGCGTTGTGGAGGGGTTGGCAGGTCTGCAGCGAGCGGGGGCGGCAAAGAGGGGGGTGATGACTAGGGGGGGGATCTCATGGCGTGGCCCATGATGTTTCCCCAGATCTCATGGTGCCTCTTCTTATTTCGTTACGTCCCTGGCACCCCCGCTGGGCCGCGCACACGCCGCCAGTCATGATTTGCACCCCCCCCTCTTGGACGCCCCTCTCTTGGCCGCTCCCGACAGAGCGCGGACAATATGAGAGCACCCCCGCCGCCCCTGTCAGAAGCCGAGGCAACGTGATCACGCGGCACCCGCGCACGGTCCAGATTCTGCCGCAATCTGGATCCTGCGTTCGTTTGACGGAACTGCTGGGGGGCGCACAGTCCCAGGTTCGTCGCCGGTCGGGTGGGGAATGGGGTGTTGTATGCCAACAGGGAGCGATGATAGACCCAGAAGGGGAAGCGGAAGAACGAGGAGCAGACGTTCTGAACCAACCACGTGCGCCCTGAAGGGCTGGTGGGATCTCGCCAGAATATGACCCGAAGGGGGAGGGGGAGGGACCGAGACCCCCCCTAAGCTTGGATGACGGCCTGGCCCGATTTGCCTCGGGCTGGCGAGCCTGGAGGGCCAGAGGTGGCCACTGGGAAGGGGGGGGAAAGCTTCGAGTGAATTGGGCCGTCTTGGAGACCTCGTGGGGGCCCCTTGGGCCGTCGTGGGCCACATTGGGGCCATCTTGGGCCGTCTTGATGGCCTCCTGGCCCGTCTGACGGCGTCGGGAGCCGTCTTGGGGGCCTTTCTGGGTCGATTTGGGGCCCTTTTGGGGTGCTCCAGGGCCGTCTTGGAAGCCATTTTGGGTGTCTTGGAGGCCTCTTGGGCCGTCTTAGGGGCCCTCTTGGGGCTGTCTTGGGGGCCCCTTGGGTCGTTCTGGGGCCATCTTGGAGGCCTCTTGGGCGATCCCGGGGCGATCTTGGGGGGCTCTTGGGCCGTCTCGGGCCGCCGGAAGGCCGAAAAGATGCAAATTCCATAATCCGTCGAAAACACTGGGAAAATCAATGGTTTGGGCCCCTTCGGGCCTTCCTGAAGGCCATCTTGGAGGCCTCTTGGGCCATCTTGGAAACCTCTTGGGGGCCTCTTGGGCCATCTTGGAGCCATCTTGGGCCGTCCTGATGGCCTCCTGGCCCGCCTGACGCCGTCAGAAATCGACTTGGGGGCCTCTCTAGGCCGACTCAGGGCCCTCCTGGTGTGCTCCAGGGCCGTCTTGGGGGGCCTCTTGGGCCGTTCTGGGGCCATCTTGGTTTGCCCTGGGACGAGGAGCCCAGAACTCCCCCTCACGCGACCCAACAGGGTCGGCGGGAATCAAATTTGTTTTGCTCGGCAAGGCAAACCTCTTTTCGAGCCTCGAGAAGTCATGCTTGTGATGTGGCAGATGTTCTGGCACCCGAAGGTTGTCTACCCTGGCTACGATACCTTCAGCACGACGCGAGCGGGGACGGAGGGCGCAGTCCCCAAGCGTGAGCAGGTGAAGTTGACAGAGATGTTGAACAAGAAGGTGCCTTCCGAGCTCCGGCTCAAGCGGAGGGCTCAGGTGATCTTGCTGAGGAAGCAGCAGGGCGAGCCTTCCCTGGTCAACGGCAGCGGGCTAACTGGAAAAGCCCCATAGCCTTTCAGCCTTCCAGGCAGGGGACGAAGACGTGACGACAGGGGCGACGGTCGAGTATGATTTGAAGGACGGTCCTGGCCCAGGCGCAGACGGTTCCAGGAGGGGGGGGGGACGACAAGAACAGCGACAAGGACGACCAGCGACCACGACGGCAGCGGCGACGACGACGGATGGACGACGAATACGAAGGATGGACGACGACGACGACGACGACGACGACGACGACGACGACGACGACGACGACGACGACGACGACGACGACGACGACGACGACGACGACGACGGCGGCGGCGGCGGCGGCGGCGGCGGCGGCGGCCACGGCGAAGACGAGGACGGCGAGGAGGGCGAGGGCGCCGGGCGCCCCGCCGCTCAGGCAGCCGGGGCGTGGTGGTCGACCTGCACGACAACGCCGCCACGGTCGCCTTCGACAACGGCAAGACTTATCTGGCGAGCCGGCAGCCCGGTCCCGAGGAGCAGACAGCTCGCCACTGGGGAAAGCGGGTCCTGAGGGAAACGGGTCTTGAGGCTCTTCGCCGGTCTCGCGCCCCCCACGGGCCCCAGGGCTGTCCAGAAACGGCTCAGGATGAAGAGCTCGTCACGGGGGGGGAGGCCCCTGGAGACAGGACCCGCTTCCTCCATGCTGGGACAGCACGACGAGGACGATGCCGTAATGCGGCCGTCTCAGGCTGCACTCCTGGACGCTTGGGGCTTTTGGCGGCCCTCTTTTCCGGAGGCCGCGCAATATATTTGAAGATCTTGGAGTGTGTCATCCCCCAGGCAGTGCTTGCAACTGGGGATTCTTGCTCGCGTTTCTGAGCTGTTGGGTTGGTCCGCCGAGGTTTCGCCCACGCTCCCCCCAGTGGGCGCCTCGTGGACGCCTCGCGCCCTGGGTGCATCCGCCGAGCCGTCGCCACGCTTTCTCCGCGGGCGCCCGCGGGCGTCCGGTGGGCGCCTCGTGCCCTGGGCGAGCAACACGGCTTGCGCAACATACTTGGGGGGCCACATGCGAGCCCTACCCCCCCCCCCCACACGATTTCCGAGGGGGAGGGTGGGGTTCACTTCGTTCGGGAGCTCCCGAGCGAAGTGAACCCCACCCCCCCCCCTCAGAAGTCGTGGGGGGTGGGGGTAGGGCTCGCACGTGGCCCCCCTAGTACATCACGCCGCATGGCTCACACCGCATGGCTCACACCTCATAGCTTACACCGCTTGGCTTACACCACGTCACACCGCGTAGTTTTGATAACATAGCTCACGCCACAGAGCTCGCACCGCACAGCTAAGACAACATGGCCTGCGCCGCACTGCTTTAACAACACAGCGTATACTACACAGTTCACTTCACACAGCTTCCGCTCCACGCTGCGACAAGGCACCCTTCGGGGCCCACGCTGGCTGACATCATCATGATCTCGTGTGGAGGGCATAAGGCACCAGCACGGATCTCCTGGAGGCCCGCGCGGACTTCCTGGGACGGCGCCGAGCGACGAACCAAAAACGGGTCTCACGCAGGATGGCACGGCGACCCCACGCGGCGGCTCGCGTGGGCCGCCAGCGCAGCCACGCTGCACCGGAGACGAGGGCGCACACGCGGGGCCGCAACGCGGGCAGCTCGCGCGCCGACGACGGCGCAGACGACCCCCGCTTCTTCTTCGTCTTCTTATTATTATTATTAGTATTATTATTATTATTATTCTTATTATTCTTATTGTTATTATTCTTATGATTCTTATTATCCTTCTTCTTCTTCCTCTTCTTCTTCTTCTTTTTCTTCTTCTTCTTCTTCTTCTTCTTCTTCTCCTTGGCCTCGCGCCGAGAGCTGCGCGCCCAGGGCCAGCAGGGGGTGTGCGGGGGCGGAGAGGCCCGGCGCCGACCCCGCGAGCTGCGCGCGGCCCTCCGAGGAGGGCCCCGCCGTGCTCGCGCGGCCTGCGGGCCGGTTGGCCTCCGCCGACCCCGCCTCGGGAGGTCCGAGACAGCAGGGGCAGGAGTCCGGGGGGGGACCCCTAAAACGACGCGAAGATCGGGACAAAATCGGATCGGGATAATTCGAAATCTCTGAGAATCGGCGGGTTTGGAGGATGTGTTGGGCGCCGCGGCCGCTCCAGAGCGTTCCGGAACGCTCTGAGAGCGCTCCGGAATGCTTTGGAGCGATTTATCCCGATCCTAGCCCTGTTTTAACCCCTGACGCCACCGAAGAAACTACCCTGATGGGGGGGGGTCCGGGGGAGCAGTTTCTCCAAAGAGCCCGCCTGAGGGGGGGGGGGTCCGGAAGGAAACCTCCCCCCCCCCCGGGGAAAACACCCCCAGGCCCCCCACCCCACACCTGAAGGGAGGACCGAAAGAGGGACAGGAGGTATTTGACTTGACCATAGCTGGCCTCGCTGCTCCACCATAGCCAAAAGACTCCCCCGGGCATCGTTTCTAGGTGGGCTGGCGGGCGCACGCGAGGACAAGTCATGCAATCCAGAGGAGAGTGGACGGCGGTGACGGCCCTCCTCAGGACGCAGGCGGAGGAGGAGGATGAGGAGGGGGGGGGCCCTGGGGCCGGCTTGGGCCTTTCTCGGGGTGGGTTAGGGGGGCGGAAATTGTACGACGCGTCGACCTGGCCAAGGACAGAAAGAAGACGTAAGGATCCTCCCACCTCGATCGAGGGCCCCTTCTCTTCAGGCTGACCTCTGGAGGTCTGGAGGCGCCGGGTGCCGGGTCGCCACGTCGGGTCGAGCGGGACACCGGCTTCGTCCAGAAGGGCGTGAGCTACAGCCTGCGGCGGAACCAGTTGCCCCTCCGCCTCGGCTGGGCGCTGACCATCCACAAGGTCCGCAGCGCCCGTCAGAGGAGGCACAGGCGCGTACCCATACCTGGTCGCCCCGGCTGGATGCGCTTCGAGAGCTTGGTCCGTCTGCGCCCTGGGTGAGCTGATTAGCGGTGCCGGTATGTTTGTGTTCCCCTAGCCTTCGCCCCACTGCGAGCGCCCAGGGGGGCCTCTAAACCTTGGTCAGGTTGTACCCCGGGGAAGGTCCAGGGAGCAGCTGTATCGATAGTGTTGCGCGTTCTCCGAGTAAGGTCCCGCTGCGAACGCCCCAGGCTGACGAGGAGGAGGGCGACGGAGAAGGAGAAAGGAAAGGGGCGACTTGGAGGAAGATGGTCCTGGAGGTTTTCTCACCACTTTGAAGCTCCTCAGGCCCTTCTCGGGCACCAGGGCTATCAGCAAAATGATTCATGAGTGAAAACAGCAGCGGCCAGGACTCGTTTCCACCAGGGCCGCTGTCCCTCACGATCGAGGACGAGGGCGCGGAGGAGGAAAGCGCTGGATGGTAGCAACTGGCACCTTAGGGCATTGAGGTCTGAGTTGTGGAGGTACGTTGACACCCCTCCCTACAACTGTCTTCGTTGGCCCAGGGGCCGTAGGGAGGGCCTCGGCACCCTCCTTTGGCAATGTCGCCGTAGGGTGAAAGTGTCAAGATTATGGCAGCCCCTATGATGGCAGCTGCCGAGGGGTTGGGGCCTACGACGGTCCCCATTGGAGTGGCTGAGGCCTATGATGGTCCTCGCCAAGGAGGAGCTGGGAGAGAGTCGCCCAGTCGCCAGGGTGGGGCGCAACGACGATGCCGTCTGCGATGTGCTCTGGTCCTGAGGCGGGAATTCCTGAAAGGGAAGGGGTGCACACACAAAACTGGCATACACAGCTTCGGCACCGAAACTAAGTAGGCCCTGCGCACGCGGTATCCCACGGGGGGGATAACGACTGCGCACGCAAAGTTCAGATACCGGTTTGCTGCGCCCCCAGCCCCAGGGACAGTTGCGATCCGCCGAGAGCAAACTGAAGAGGGGCAGGCACCCCCCGAATCAAAATCCCCCGACAAGCACAGATTTCGTACATATTATATTCAGTGCCTCGCTCACCACACAGCACGACACGGGCGGAAGCCAGCATGTCTTGGCAGGGCTCTGCCGGAACGTGCTGCGCACATTGCCGAAAAACCGAGGCCCGTCCAGACCGTTACTCTACAAAGTCGGCGCGGGAAAGCGGGGAAAAGTTTTACGGTCATCTGAGCTGTTCTATCAGCTTGGGTGAGGGTAAATTCCACCGGGAAGTCTGGCGGGGGGGGCACGATTTGTCCGCCCGCCGCCCCTCCGAGGCAGAGGCCTCCGAACCGCTGCTGGCTACAGGTTAGGTGACCAAATCGGGTATAGCCAGGACCCGAGGTAAGGGGACCCGGTTAGTGGTAGGGCCCTGGGGCCTTCGAATTGGCCAGAATCACTAAACCAGGTTTGCCGTAGCTGGTGTTTTTTCGGGTGACGGCAGTTCCGGTTAGTGGAAATGGGGCGGGGGGGCGCCCCCGGTACAGATCATTAAACCGGGTTCCACTAAATCCAGTTCTACCAACGCCCGACCAAAGTTCCGCCGACAGTGTTCCCCCCAGGCCTGGGAAGCCGAGGATAAGCCGGCACAGCCAAGAATCAGAGAACCCCGCCCCCCCTAAGACACACACCCTGCGGAACGGTAAGATACGCATTTTTCCGATGAGAGGCGTATCATGTAGATGGGTATTTGGGTTTTTGCCAAAGCCTGTGGCTCGTACTAGCTGGACGCTCAACTGCCTCACGACAGGTCGGTGCAGGCCTCGCGTACCCATGTGGATGTCCCTGGGATGCTGTAGCGTCTGTGCGTCGTCCATTTCTTGATCACTGCGATGGGGAAGTGCCCCGAGGTCGAAAGTAGCTGGAGGAGCTCCCTGAGCACGAGGGCTCTGCCGTCCAAGCGGAGCGTGCAGCGGTCGACGGGGGCGACAAGGCCCAGCACGGCCTGCTTGACGCTGGGTGGCGCGTAGCTCCTGTAGTCCATGCAGGGCGCGTGATTGAGCTCGTCGCGGGAGGCGCCGAGGTGGAGGGACGCGGGGCGTACGGAGACGCAGCCGTCGGCGTCGAGGGTGACCCGCATGCCCGTGAAGGTGTCACCCCCGTCCTCGTCACACGGTAATGGGTACCGAGCATTTGGCCAGGAGTGCACTTGAGCAGCAATGCGTTCCAGGATCTCGGGGTCGGCTCCGGCAGGCGCCCTTCAAAGGCAGAGGTAATCGTCCATGTACCGGGTCTCCGAGATCAGGCACTCGATGCCGGAAAGCACGGCGTAACGCACGCGACCTCGAGCAGGTGGTGGGGGCCGCGGCCCCAGATGGAGCGACGCGTGAAATGCGACGTTGCGGAATATGAGCGCCATTTTGGTGAGGGCGCTTGCTAGCGAGCTCCCCATTGCTAAACCGTCCGTGGCGCGACCCACCAGGCAGCCCACGGCGAGCCACAGGTTGGCCAAGCTGTGCTCGATGGCGGCAGTGAGGTCGGCGATCGAGAAGGTGATGTGGCGCGGGGAAGCGCGTGGGGGCTCGTAGAGGATACAGCTGCCTGTGCCCCTGCGCCGATGGGCCGTGATAAAGGCGATGCCCCGTTCGTGGAGCACCTTCTGGTAGAAGACCCATGCGCCCCGGACCAGTTTATGCGGGACGTTCGAGAAACAATCCACGAGGTCGCTGCCGTCTTTCCGCACAGGTCCGTGTGGCGGGAGCCTGTTGAAGCGGCCGAGTCGCGTGAGCAGGGCGTCGGTGCGCTGGGAGTCGATGTGCAGGGGTTCTGGGATGCAAGCGCTGCTGACCCAGCCGATGGCCCGGGCGGCTGGGGATTCCAGCTCCTGGGTCGGCCATTGGGACCGGCCTACGAGTGGGCGACGCCCGTCACGTGTTTCTCTCTTCTTGTTCGGCGCCGAGGCGGTGGCCATGCGCCAGAGTCGCCGGCTCGGGAAGCGATCCGGTTCGAGATGGTCGCGGGGCCCAGGAGCGCCAGCCAGTTGCTGAAGGACAACCTCAGCCTGGAGACCCGGGAAGTACTCGAACTTCGGGGTTTTGCCCGTCTGTGGCGAAGAGGTGCGGGCAGAGGGGCTGCACGCGGCGCGGGCACTCTGCCACGAGCGCGTGCCTGGTTTTTTGGAACTCGTTTGGTGCGTGGTTTGAGTCCACGAATGCCGGCGGGCAGGCAAGGCGAAGTGCGCCCACGGTGCGACGTAGAAGCCGGCGGCATGTGGCAGGAAGCGCTCCTTGCTAGAGACGACGGACGGACGCGTGCTAGGGCATGGTCCGCAGGTGGGCGAGCTCTGGTGGCAACGGCCACGTGTCTTGCGGCGCGAAGACGCGCAGCTCATCGTCGAGCGACGGGTAGCGGGGAAGGTGCGGGTGCAGATGGCATGTGCATGCCCACGCTGCCGGCTCTCCGAGGTGGCGATAGAGGCGGGGTGCATTTCGCAGCGCAGATCGGAGCGTGAGGGGGCTAATGGGCGACAGCGCGACGGTGAGGTCACGGATGATGGACAGCATGAGGGTCTGGCCGCGGGAGCGCGCGTCGAGTAGGAGTTTCTGCACGACGTCATGGGAGACGCGGCGGACGCCCCCCCTTAATCGCGGCCGCGGCCATCGCCGGAAGAGTCGGACGGAGTCCAGCACCTTGAGGCCGATCGCCCTGGTGGTGCCCTCGCGTCACCTGCGGACCTGGTGCCAGACGGCGAATCGGTCTTCCTCGGTGAACCGGTATAGATCAGCATCGCCGTGGGAGTCGTCGCAAGCGGCCAGCGTGTTGCAGGCGAGGTGCGCCCAGCGGGTGATCGGATTTGCCGCAGGGGCGCGCGGGGAGTCAAGCGCTTGACGGGCTGGTTGGGCCCGCGGCCGCTCTTCCTGAGCATGGGCCCGCATCTGGGTCATAGGCGCCAGGGGTGCTGCAAGAGCAGCAGGAGGAGGACGACGACGATCAGGAGGAAACGAGCACGGAGGAGAGGCCGAGGGAGGGGAGTGTAATGGCGACGAGGAGAAATGGGGAGGAGTACCAGGGGCGCCAGGCGACGGGCGAGGGGCGAGGAGGAGGAGGGAGGAGGATGCATCGTCGTCCGCGTTGCCGTCGGCTCTCTCGGAGTGGGGGGCGCCCGCGCTCCGCGCCAGGCCCAGGGCATGACCCTCACCAGGGCGGAGGTGCAGCTGGGGGAGACCTTCTGCCACGGGCAGGCCTACGTGGCCCTGTCCAGGCCGGCGCGGGCTGCGGCCCAGGGGCCCAAGTCCAGGGCCCGTTTCGATCCGATCGACTTGAGCTTTATTGTGAAGGCCTTGCGGCCGGTGCCGCCGACCCAGCCAGAAGGACGACGACCACGACGACAACGACAAGGACGAGTTGATGACCCTGCCACAAGCTCGGGACATGGGGTGGGCAGTGGAGGGAGGAGGAGGAGGAGGAGGAGGAGGAGGAGGAGGAGGAGGAGGAGGAGGAGGAGGAGGAAGAGGCACGGCATGGTTCGGGCACGGCATGAGCCGAGGCCGCTGGCGCCGCCTGCCCGCAGCACCGCCGCCGCCTGCGCCCCGCCGCGGCCGCCGCCCCAGGCCGTTGGGCGCCGTGCCAGGGCACTCGGAGGCCGAATTCGCGCCCCTGCACGCGCGCTCAGAATTCCCTGGGGCGGCTCCGGCGGCCGCGTCTGGGCACGCGCCGCCGCCTGCGCCCCGCCGCGGCCGCCGGGCGCCTGCGCTGCCTGCCCGCAGCACCGCCGCCGCTTGCGCCCCGCCGCGGCCGCCGGGCGCCCGGGCCGAACACCGGGCCGCTGGGCGCCGTGGCCGGGCCGCCCCGCCGCTGCCGCTGGCTGGCCCGAGCACTGAGCCTGCGCGCCCGCCTCGGGTCCCGGGGAAAATATTCTCCGTGAGCGTCCAGTCCGGAGGCGGGGCAAAGTCGCACCCTCGCGGGCGACCCCTCGGCCCGGGCTGAGTCGCTGGCAGTGCCACGGAGCCCTTATAAATTCCATTATTGTTTTTGGTGTTCGCCCGCCTGCCGGCGAACGCCCACCGGCTCGACGCGGTGGAGGCGCCTCAAGGAAAAAGGAGGAGGAGGCGGAGGAGGGGGCCGAGGAGGAGGAAGAGGAGGAGGAGGAGGAAGAGGAGAAGGAGGAGGAGGAGGAGGGGGAGGGAGCGGGAGGGGAAGGGCAATGGAGGAGGAGGAGGAGGAGGAGGAGGAGGAGGAGGAGCAGTGCAAGAAGTGGTTCTCCGGGAAAAAGGTCGGTTCCTTGGGAAATCGGTTGGTTCTCCGGGTGAACGTTGCCAAATGTTGAGTTGTTTGGTTATTTGGGTGATTTTTCGCAGTTTTCCCAAATAAAGAAAATAGCACCCAAACACCACGCACCAAACCCCAAACACCACGCACCAAATTCCAAACCCCCCTTCCCAAACACCAAACCCCAGACACCAAACCCCAAACGCCAAGCCCCGAAAAACCAAAAGCCAAACACCAAACCCCAAACCTCAATTCCGAAATAGTAAACCCAAAGGCCAAACCCTAAACATCAAACCCCGAACACCAAACATCAAACCCCAAACACCAAACATCAAACCCCAAACACCACGCCACAAACACCGAACCCCAAACACCAAACCCCAAACCCAAAACACCAACCCCTAAGCACCAAGCCCCAAACACAAAATTCAAAAGTCAAACACTAATCCCCAAACATCAAACCCGAAACACCACACACCACGCCCCAAAACACCAAGCCCCAAACACCAAACCACAAGCACTAAACCCAAAACACCAACCTTCAACATCAAACCCTACACACCAAACACCAAACCCAAAACATCAAACCCCAAACACCAAACCCTAAAAACCAAACACCAACACTACCAGCATGGCGAACACCAGTACTACTACTACTACTACTACTACTACTACTACTACTACTACTACTACTACTACTACTACTACTACTACTACTACTACTACTACTACTACTACTACTACTACTACTACTACTACTACTACTACTACTACTACTACTACTACTACTACTACTACTACTACTACTACTACTACTACTACTACTACTACTACTACTACTACTACTACTACTACTACTACTACTACTACTACTACTACTACTACTACTACTACTACTACTACTACTACTACTACTACTACTACTACTACTACTACTACTACTACTACTACTACTACTACTACTACTACTACTACTACTACTACTACTACTACTACTACTACTACTACTACTACTACTACTACTACTACTACTACTACTACTACTACTACTACTACTACTACTACTACTACTACTACTACTACTACTACCTACTACGACTACGACGACTACGACTAAACGACTACGGACTACTAGTACTCCTACTCCTACTACTACTACTACTACTACTACTAACTACTACTACACTAACTACTACTACTACTACTACTAATACTACTAAGACTACTTAGAAAAAAAAATTTACTACTACTACTACTACTACTACTACTACTACTACTACTGACTACTACTAAACTACTACTGACTCCTGCTACTGCTACTGCTACTGCCTACTGCTACTACTGTACTTCCGCTACTAGTGCTACTCTACTACTACAGCTACTACTACTACTCCCACTATTAATAATACTATGAAAATATACTACATAACGACGATTACGAAATCCGGCGCCGCTCTGCGGTTGATCGGGAGTTTCTTTATATATAGAAGAAGGGGCGCGCGCTTCTGGGCGAGAGGGAAACGACCGAGAGAAGAAGGGGCGGCCGCCCCACAGGACCTCTCCATGGTGCCGGAAGCCCATCAGGGCTCCCTCAGGGCCCCTCCCCCAGGGCCGGGGCTCCCTCTCCTGCCCCCTCCCCCTCCTCCTCCTCCTCCTCCTCCTCCTCCTCCTCCTCCTCCTCCTCCTCCTCCTCCTCCTCCTCCTCCTCCTCCGCCCCCGTCGGCATATCCAGGCGTGTTATGCAGTCAGGTCGTCCGTCCGGAAACGGTGCCGGAGGCCGCTCTGGGCTCCTCTGGGCATCCCCCCCGTGGCCCGTTTTGTGAGGATGTCTCAGGCGAGGGCGCCGGTTTGGGATTCGTCACCGGATCCAGCGGATCCAGCGGATCCAGCGGATCCGTCCGGAAACGGTGCCGGAGGCCGCTCTGGGCTCCTCTGGGCATCCCCCCCCGGGCCCGTTTGGTGAGGATGTCTCAGGCGAGGGCGCCGGTTTGGGATTCGTCACCGGATCCAGCGGATCCAGCGGATCCGTCCGGAAACGGTGCCGGAGGCCGCTCTGGGCTCCTCTGGGCATCCCCCCCGGGGCCCGTTTTGTGAGGATGTCTCAGGCGAGGGCGCCGGCTTGGGATTCGTCACCGGATCCAGCGGATCCAGCGGATCCGTCCGGAAACGGTGCCGGAGGCCGCTCTGGGCTCCTCTGGGCATCCCCCCCGGGGCCCGTTTTGTGAGGATGTCTCAGGCGATGGCGCCGGTTTGGGATTCGTCACCGGATCCAGCGGATCCAGCGGATCCAGCGGATCCGTCCGGAAACGGTGCCGGAGGCCGCTCTGGGCTCCTCTGGGCATCCCCCCCGGGGCCCGTTTTTGTGAGGATGTCTCAGGCGAGGGCGCCGGTTTGGGATTCGTCACCGGATCCAGCGGATCCAGCGGATCCAGCGGATCCGTCCGGAAACGGTGCCGGAGGCCGCTCTGGGCTCCTCTGGGCATCCCCCCCGGGGCCCGTTTTGCGAGTATGTCTCAGGCGAGGGCGCCGGTTTGGGATTCGTCACCGGATCCAGCGGATCCAGCGGATCCAGCGGATCCGTCCGGAAACGGTGCCGGAGGCCGCTCTGGGCTCCTCTGGGCACCTCCCCCGGGGCCCGTTTTGTGAGGATGTCTCAGGCGAGGGCGCCGGTTTGGGATTCGTCGGCGGATCCACCGGATCCAGCGGATCCGTCCGGAAACGGTGGCGGAGGCCGCTCTGGCCCCGAGACTCGTTCAGGCTTGTTTTAATCGTAGCCCGACACAAGTTGTCGCGTTCCGACCAGAATCACGCCCTACGCGTGATTACAAAGCATGATCACGAAATCCGTGAAAAATATGGGCCAACGGCAAATGGATGATGACGAATGTTGTATGCGATGGTGATGGTCAGGATGATGTTGATGACGACGGCGTTGGCGATGATAACGGTGGTGGTTGCTGTTATGATGATTACGATGTTGATGACGATGAAGCTTATGATGGTGGTAATGGTGATGGTGATGATGATGATGATGATGATGATGATGATGATGATGATGATGGTGATGATGGTGATGATGGTGGTGATGACAACGACGACGATGATGATGATGATGATGGTGATGGTGATTGTGATGGTGATAACGATGATGATGATGATGATGATGAGGATGATGGTGATGATGATGATGATGATGATGATGATGATTATGATGATGATGATGGTGATGATGTAGATGTTGATGGTATGATTTGTATACATATCCCTGCTTTGTTCCCGCACGGCTCGCCAGTGTGCGCTTATTCGTAATCAAACTCGCTAAATGTATCCACTACCCATCTAAACAAACACATGTAGGGCACTGTTTTGGGATGGCATTGCTTCGCGATGGCTTTGATGTGCCGCTGGAGGTCTTCATCTGCATACAACCACACACACATCGGATTAATGAATGTTGCATACTCTAAAATGTGCTGGGTCTCATGCAATTTTGGTTTCATCTTCCATCCCCTTTTGCTTTGACTGTGGGCCTCGATACTGAGGTTTCGATAACATCCCATCATCGTTTGGCTGAGTTCTTTTAGGTCTTTCTTTTCGCCTGGGGTGAGAAACCGATCTGCATCCTTCATGATATCGTACGCTTTGTTTAACGCTCTGCACACAACCAGCCTCCGTTTAGCGTGAACGCCTCCATCATTACACCGTTCAGCCAGTTGCACGAGATATGGTGTGATGTGCCTCGTCGCTGCTGCCTTGGCCTTGAGTAGCGGCCAGTCTCCAGACGCTTTCACTCGTTCATACGTTATTTTGCCATCAATCCGTACAGATTCTTTTGTCGTTTTGTAGTGCTTCTGCAGGTCGTCGTTCAGACGCGCAGCTCGTTCTTTCTGATTGCTGCCCCAGCCAGGGGCCTCCATAAACTCGTACATGACGTTCCCTGCAACCTCTGCCGTGAAGCCTTCGCCCATGCCATGCATTGCGTCTGGTAAGAAGCCCTCCAGTCGAAGTGTTTTGATTTTCATCAAAACGCACGGTTCTGCACCAGTATCAACACAGTTTCTCAAATAAGATTCGTGGCTTCTCAACGTGCCCCTCCAACCTGCGTCGGACGAAACGTTGAAGCAACAAAGATGTCCTTCATGAGGACTTGCATTGCAGAGCCAACAACAGTTCGGAACTGACTGTCCAGTTGGAAATTTGCACACTGATGAATAAAATTCCCAATCCGCCCCACAGAATATCACAGCAATTCGCCAACCGTTCGCAAGCTCTCGCCCCCCACCATTTGTGGGTGCACCTTTCCAGTCACAATGCGGTAGCACCCCTTCTGTCAATGCATTGAACGACCAAGCGAGACGTGTAAACACAGCTTCCAAAACACCATCGCATATCCATGATTTGGGAATGGACGTGAACACATTGCGGGTTTGTTTTGTAGTTCCAGTACCATGTAAAGTTGACCAAGCTATAGTAAGCATCCCATCCACCTTTGTTGTTGGGGCTGCGTCTGCATGCACTTTCACTGCCATGGTGCGCTGGATGTCGATGACGTGTTTATTTTTCTCATACATTGGTGTCCCTCTCATGCCATGCCAGAAACTTGGAACGTCACCGTCCACGCCACGTGTTGATTTAAAAAACCTGTATTCGTTTTTAGATATCATTGTCTCCAGCGTATCTATCGGGCAAATCACGGGTAAATCTCGCGTCACTCCTGCTTTCTTGGTTGGCACTTCGATGAATTGAATTGCAGGCGCATTCTCAGGGTAACCAATTGCATTCATCAAGTTGCGAGCTGCATTGTGGATGTCCGTCATCGCTAAAGTCTCGATGTCGGGGCACCCTTGAGCTTGGGCAGCACATGCAAATTCCAACACATCTCTGCAAGTGATCTTTCCCTCGCACCACCGTCGCATCAGCAACTGATTCAATGGCTTCCCGCACGCATCTACACGTCTTGCTTTCGACGTGCTTGGTGCAGGAGGATCAGTTGAATGATTGAGCCGCATCCTGATTCCACCTCTGTGGGCTAGAGAATCACATCCATCTGGCTGGACGGCGTCGCCAATTCGTCTACGGACGCCGCCAGCCCTCATGCTGCATGACACCAGAAACGTTGGCACGTACTTTCTTTGGGCATGCAAAGAGAGGTCATGTTTGAGCCCAAATGGCTAAAGACATAATCCCACCAGCCCTCTGGGGCCTTCTTGGGGCCCTCTTGGGGCTCTTTTGGAGGGTCTTGGAGCCCTTTTGGAGCTCTTTTTTTTTTTTTTTTTTTTTGGGGGGGGGGGGCTCTGGGAGGCCTCTCGGGGCCGTCTTGGCTATGGCTAAAGAAGGGGGGTGCCCCAATTCTTGCCCCCCCCCCCTCGGAGGCTCAAGCATGCAGTCTTGGGACAGTTTTGGCCCGCTCTTGGAGCGCTCTTGGGCGCTCTTGGGGCCGTCTTGGGGCTCTCTTGGGCCTCTCTTGGGGCTGTCTTGGATCATCTTGGGGCCATCCCTTCGGAGGCGAACAAGCGAGAAGGCAACACACATTGATGTTCCTTAGGTTTGTGAAGGGCTTGGGCCTCTTAGGGGGGTCCTTGGAGGCTTCGGAGGGCACTTGAAACCGTATTGGGGCCGCCTTGAGGCCTTTTGGACGCGTGTCGGAGGCTATCTTGACCCGTCTGCCGTTATCTTGGGCCATCTTGGAGGCCATCTTGCGCTCTCGGAGGCCCTCTTGGAGCCATCTTGGGCGATATCTTGGACGCTGCTATGGGTCCGCCCCCTCCTCCCCCGTCCAACCGCAGGGAGGGGGGGGGGTGAACCCTCCGAGCAGGGAACGGCATGAGGTTGGAAAGGGACACGCCCTAGACCAAAGAGCCCCAAGAAGCCCCAAGAAGGCCCTGAGAGGACCTCAGGAGAGCCCCAGGAGGCCCCAAGAGGGGCCCAAGAGAATCCCAAGAGGGCACCAATATGCCTCCAAGTTTCGGAACGCACGCGAGTTTAAGATACAAATCCATGCAACAGCCGTTACGAGTCATCGACATACCCCTCATAGCATCGAAGCGCTATCGTAACTTGCACTGATTTCCATCTTAAACTTCAATGCGGGAAGCTATGTGTGAAGTTTTTTTTTTTACACCCCAACATGATTCAAACGCAGTAGGAACATGTTAGCGCCTCGGCCTGTTCAGCTATGTGTGATGCTTGTGTTCTCGAGGACGGCTGCGTGACTGCATGCGTTATGCCGCCCTTGATTCACCAACTCCCCTGCTGATCGTTTCTGGATGGGCTGGTGGGGATACGCGGAGCGTCAAGAATTGCAATCAACAAGCGCATGCAAGTTGGATGTGATGCATCTGGCGGCTCCTCACCCTTCTCAGCCTCCTCATCCTCCTCATCTTCCTCCTTATCCTCCTCCTCAAGCCCATCTTCTACCGATTCTTAAGTTTTCAGAATAGGCCAGGGCGTCTGGGGGAGGGGACGGCCGTGCCCCGCTCGGATCCTCGAGGGATTTGTAATCATAAGTATCCTCCTCTTCCTCCTCCGTCTCCTACTCCTCCTTCTCCTCCTCCTCCTCCTCCTCCTCCGTTTCCTCCTCCTCCTCCTCCTCGGTATTATCCTCGTCGTGGCCTCATGTTCATTTTCATCATCATGTTTTGCAAGCCTTTATGGTTCTACCCCTCATTCTTCGGCTCGGCCGCTCAATCGCGGCGGTTCTCGAGCATGTCGGGCAGGGGCACGGGCCAGCAGCGGCACGGAGGAGGGAGGGGAGGGGAGTTGTAGACAATGGAGAGTAGGGGGAGGGAAGAGAGGAGGGAGAAATTGAAGATGCGGGGGAGGAGGAGGAGGAGGAGGATGAGGAGGAGGAGGAGGAAATGAAGACGAGCAGAGGGGGAAGCTCGAGCATGAGGACGGGGGCGTTGCTCACTCCTTCTTCGCCCTCTTGGGCGTGGGGGCCATCCTCGAGAACCACTCGACGACTACGTTGAACTCTGAGTAGATGGCGCCCAGCTTCCTGGCAACGGCCAGGATCTCTGGATCTGGGACGGGGTCGGCGTCCTCGGACGAGCTCTTGAGATGGATTTTCTCGACGCTGTTGAATGTAGACTTGAACCTGGGAATCAGCTTCTCAACGTCTGTCTTCAGCGGACCCAGGTACTTCGACTTCGATTTATCAGATGCCACCTCGAAGATGCGCTTTGCCTCTGTGAGCGATTCGGAGAGGGATCGTAGGACCGCCTTGGGCTTGTCCTTGATCGAATTGAAGGTCTTCATGTCCTCATCTGGCTTCTGCCCCTCGACCTTGATCTTCACGTCCTTGAGCTTCTCAGCGCCTGCACTGCCAGAGCTGCTAGGCGCGGTCTCGAGGATGCCAGCTGCCGCCAAGTCCTCCGCGAACTCAGCCTTCTCCTTCTCTGACGTAATCTCCTTCTCGGACTCCATCGTTTTCCCAGCGTCGTCGGTGTTGGTGTTGATCTCCTCGTCCTCGTAGATCTTGCATTCTCGACTCCACTCGTCGTCCAGCCCCGTGTCTCGATCAGGCCTGTGGCGATCGGCCTTGTCGCCCAATAGTTTGATCTTCGCGAGCGCCTTATGCTCGCCAAACAGCTGGATCACGCCGTGCTTCGCCATCCACTTGCTCTTGTCAACATCCTCCTTCTTATGGTTGACCTTCCTCCACGCGCGATTGACCGAGTTGCCCTCCTTCATTGATTTGGCAACCCAGCTGACGAAGAAGACCTTGCGAGCAGCTGGCGTCAACGCGTCGTATCCAGCTCTTTTCCCTTCCGATGCCAGCCAGTACATCAAATTTGAACTCTGTCGATGCTTCACTTCCTTGTCCTCCAAGAACTTTTTCGCATCCTGAACATCCTTGTCGGTGACAGATGGCATTTCCAGAGGTTCTGCGTCAACTGCCACCTTTTTTTTCCCCTTGGGAGGCATCCAACCAAATCAAATGCAAAGTTGACGTCTGTTCAGTGATGCACGTGCGCGGCTGTGAGTGTGAGCCAAAACGTGCCTGTACGGTACATGCGTGAACAGTTTTCCAGAATTTTCCAGACTTTCTCCAGACTCTGGAAAAAGTCTGGAGTTTATGCTTTCTGATTGAATCTGGTTATATACATGTTTTCCAGAATTTTTCCAGAGTCCGGAAAAAGTCCGGAGAATTCTGGAAAATCAAACTGGCACCAGGCAAAACAACCATTCCAAGTCCGAGGGTGAAGATGGGCAGGTTGCCTCTACCAAGAGGGGGCCGTAGGGGGCCGTGAGGGGCCGTAGGGGCCGTAGGGGGCCTCATGGGGCCGTAGGGGGCCGTGCGGGGGCCGTGGGGGCCTCAGGGGGCCTTGAAGGGGCCTTAGGGTGCCTTAAGGGGGCCGCATGGGCTTGGGTGGCTTGAAACGTTCCTCCCTCCTCCTCCTCCTCCTCCTCCTCCTCCTCCTCCTCCTCCTCCTCCTCCTCCGCTTGAAACGTTCCTCGCTCCTCCTCCTCCGCGGGCCACTGGAATCCCACCAGCCCTCTGGGCGCAGGTGGTCTAGGGCGTTTCCCTTTCCAACCTCCTGCCTTTCCCTGCTCGGAAGGTTTACCTCCCCCCCTCCCTGCGTTTGGACGGGGGGGGGACGGACCCATAGCAGCGTCCAAGATGGCCCAAGATGGCTCCAAGAGGGCCTCCGAGAGCGCAAGATGGCCTCCAAGATGGCCCAAGATAGCGGTAGACGGGTCAAGGTAGCCTCCGACACGCGTCCAAGAGGCTTCAAGACGGCCCCAAGACGGTTTCAAGTGCCCTCCGAGGCCTCCAAGGACCCCCCCCCCCCAAGAGGCCAACATCCTTGAACAACTTAGGGAAACTCACTCTTTTTTGCCTTCTCGTTTTTTCGCCTCCGAAGGGCTCTCGAGGCCTCAAGATGGCACCAAGATGGCCCAAGACAGCCCCAAGAGGGGCCCAAGAGAGCCCCAAGACGGCCCCAAGAGCGCCCAAGAGCGCTCCAAGAGCTGGCCAAGAGGGTCCCAAGACTATTGTTTAGCCTCCGAGGGGGAGGGGTAAGAATTGCCCCCCCCCCCCCCCCCCCCCCCCCCCCCCTCCCCCCTTCTTTAGCCATGAGGACCCCCCCCGCAGAGCCCCAGAGGGCCCCAAAACCTTCCAAAAGAGCCCCAAGAAGGCCCCCAAAGAGCCCCAAGAAGCCCCAAGAAGGCCCTAAGAGGACCTCAGGAGAGCTCCAAGAAAGAGCCCCAGGAGGCCCCAAGAGGGGCCCAAGCGAATCCCAAGAGGGCCCCAAGATGCCTCCAAGTTTCGGAGCGCACGCGAGTTTAAGATACAAATCAGTGCAACAGCCATTACGAGTCATCGAAATACCTTTCATCTCATCGAAGCACCATCGTAACTTGCACTGATTTCCATCTTAAACTTCAATGTGGGAAGCTATGTGTGATGATTTTTTACACCCCAACATGATTTAAACGCAGTAGAAACATGTTAGCGCCTCGGCCTGTTCAGTTATGTGTGATGCTTGTGTTCTCGAAGGCGGCTGCGCGACTGCATGCGTTATGCCGCCCCTGATTCACCAACTCCCTTGCTGATCGTTTCTGGATGGACTGGTGGGGATACGCGAAGCGTCAAGACTTATCAGGACGCAGGCCTCCTCATCCTCATCCTCTTTCCCATCCACATCCTCCTCATCGTGCTGATTTTCCTTTTCATCCTCCGCGCCCTCCTCGCCCTCTCTCCCTCACCTCCCCCCGCAAGCACGCGCGCGCTCGGGGCGCGGGTGCGTTCCTCGAGGTCGAAGTTGTAGCACGGGCGCGAGCGAGCGCGGGCGACGACGACGACGACGACGATGCCTCCTCATTGGTATCTCCTCATCCTCCCTCTACCCCTCGCTGTCACTGCTCCCACGGCTGCTTCTCCCTCCGAGTCGTTCGGTCCTCTCCCACCTCGCCCTCCTCTTCGCTCCTCCTCCTCCCCTCCCACTGCTCCTCATCGTCATCATCGTCTCGCTCTCTCTCTCTCTCTTTTCCTCTCTCTCTCTCTCTCTCTCTCTCTCTCTCTCTCTCTCTTTTTTTCTCTCTCTCTCTCTCTCTGCCTCACTCCCCGACTCCTCCCCCTCTCATTCTCCCTCTCTCCTCCTCCCCCTCGCTCTCTCCCTCACGTCGGCAAGCCCCTCTGGGGAAGGGGGCGGCTGTACCCCGCTCGGCAAGCGACAGGGGGGGGATGTATCACCGCTCGTGATTCATGCGGTTTCGGTCCCCCCCCATGGCCCAACGGTCATGCCCACGTAAATGTGACTTCGCATGTTCGTTCAAACGGGGTGATTCAGCCAGGACCCTGGTTCCACGCCGCCCGCAAGCATGATGGTGATGGCATGATGGTGATGCTGGCGGTGATGATGGTGACGATGATGATGATGATGATGATGCTGATGATGATGATGATGATGATGATGCTGATGCTGATGATGATGATGATGACGGTGATGATGATGATGATGACGATGATGATGATGATGATGATGATGCTGATGTTGATGATGATGATGATGATGATAATGATGTTGATGATGCTGATGATGTTGACGATGGTCATGCTGACGACGATGCCGATGGTGTGGTTGTGTGGGTCGACATTCCCACGAATATCAATACCATGCTTTCGAGCTGAGGCACTCGGCCGACAATCCACAAGGCCGACGGGAACGCATCGCAGCAGCTGGGGACTTGAAATGTATGCTCGGCACTCACGCACGCGCACTCACTGGCGCAAGCTGTCGGTCGGTTCATCGAAGTCGTCGAAGGGAGGCTGCGTGCCGTCCTCCAGCACCTCGATGCTCTCGCTGTCGCTGCCCATGATCTCAGCGCTCGTCGGCACTGGCGCTGTAGCGTCATCTGGCGAGGACGGGGTCCTCCTCACCTTCCTCGCGGGGGGCTGCATCATGTTGTCGAACGTGGACTTCGCCTCCTTGAAATCCTCGCGTATGGCCGCGAACTTCTCAAGCAATGCTGACTCCTGCTTTGCGGTAGCCTTCTCGCTGGACGACGTTATCTCGACGACCGCCACGAGGAGTTTGTCGAGTTGCTCATTCAGGCTGTCGGAGTAGCGATGCTTCGGAGCGTCCTCGAGCATCTTGTGCAGGACGATCTTCATGTTCTCCACGTCCTTCCTCCAATCGTAAACGCCGACGTGCGAGGATCCCTGGGCGGAGGGCGCCATCGCCATCCTTGAACGAGGTGCTAGCCTTCGGCGCGATAGCTATAATCAAATGCACGGACCTGCTGAGGCGAAGCCTGAGCCAAAATAGCTACGGTGTAAGTGGACATGGTAGTGATAATCGGGAGTTCTAGTGAACGTGTTGTTGGAGGTAGTGGGCGTGGACTGTACTTGATTTAGGTGGTGTTCAATGGTCTAGTCTTAGTGGGTGGTGGTGGTCAGTGGCCTAGTGTCAGTAGGTGGTGGTTAATGGTCTGGTCTTAATGGGTGGTGGTAGGTGGTGGTTAGTGGTCTGGTTTTAAGGGGTGGTGGTGGTAGGTCGTACTCGCGCCTAGTGAGGCGCGTCTAAAACCAGATATCGACTCGACGACCATCGTCCAACACCTGCACGCGGCTGAGATGCATGTATCAGTGGCGCCTTTATCGTTTGTGATTTATGTTTTTGCTCCATCTCGAACCGAATGCACGATGCGGCAAGATCCCGTGGTGTCTTTGTGCCTGTATGCCAGTAAACACGGCACTGGCACCACCCCTCTCGATATGTCTACACACCAGAGACAAAACCGTGCAACGAGCAAGTCAGGAATCACATTCAAAGCCGGCCTGAGGTGGACGAGACGGATGCTGAGCAAGGGTTGGGCAATGCGGAGGACGAGGAGGAGAGGGAGGAGGGGGAGTTGGAGGAGGAGGAGGAGGAGGAGGAGGTGCAAATGGGCGGAAACGAAACACGGAAGGAGGATGAGGAGGGTGAGGGGTGAGGGGGACTTTGGAGGAGGAAGTTGAAACATCGGAGAAGGATGATTATGAGTAGGACGCTGGGGAGAAATTTGGGCTTGTGGCGAGGAGAAGGATGAAACGGAAGCGGTTGAAGAGGATAGATTTCAGGAATATCTATTGGAGGGAGATGGGGTTGAGACTCGTCTGCTTAGCCAAACGTGATGGGCCATGGCGCCAGCTCAGATCGAGATGACCACGATCAAGACACGAGCTCGCCTGTCTTGAGAATTTTTTTGTCTCTGAGCATATTGCGAAGCTCCTCCATGCGGGCCTGCCCAGCTGCACTGCCAGCGGCCGCAATCTCAGCATCTGATTTGCCCTGGGTAGCGGCCAACTTCTTCGCAGCAAACCAACTTTTCCAGTGCTCTCGCTTGCAGAACGCCTTCCACTGATCATCCTCAGAGAGATGCTTGCCCTTGCCCTTAGTCGCACCTGCTGCCTTCATGCACTTCATCGTTTTCATGACCGTCATCGCCTTCGCCTTGCCTTTCGCCTTCGCCTTCAACGCGACGTTGACGTCCTTGAAGGATCGAGACGTGATGGCCGTGCCAGACGCCGCTGCCAAGCGCTCAAGCTCGCTGCTCTCAACGCCCAGCGTCAGTGTCACAGACGGCCTTGGGTCAGCCGTCTTGTGCGTCAGTCTGCGTCGGCCCGTGCCCTGGAGCAAGGCGTTCAGGCGTGGGTCGGCGCTGCTGAACAGCTCGTCCTTGTTGATGGGGCTGCCGTCGGTGTCTGAGTCATCCACCACTATGGTCTCTATTTTCTCAGCCTCGCCGCACGTGACCTCCACATCCGAATCATCAGACACTGTTCCCAATGGCAGCCCAGCAGACCTCGGAGTATGAGTGGGCTTCTCGCTGACCTTCAGCTTGCCCCACAGCACTGCGTATTTAGCCGTCCACGCCGCAGGCACACA